CATTTATTACAGTGCAGTAATATTGACTATTATTTGATAACAAATATATTGCCAATAGACATAAATAAATACGATATACGATGTCAAAAACAACAAACAAAATATTCTAATAAATAGCATTGAGATTTGTAAGTTTTATTTAAAAACTCCTGGGTAACCCAACTAGATGCTTCGGAGCATTATCGGTAACATATCATTGCTTTCAAACGTCGGCCTTACTGGAAATTGCTCCTCTAACAACTTATCTATTTCTAATGTCCCTTAAACATTAGAAGATTGTCAGATAAGCGAATTACTTTGAACTGCTTGTTACATTTATCCAATTATAGCGATGGCATCCAGACAAGAAACTAATTGCCAAGCTATGCAACAATTGTGTCTGGAACCGTTAACCCTAACCCTATGCCAAAGCTCTTTGCTTGGAGCATAATGGATAAAACAATTTTACCGAAATAATGAACGCAAGCATCTGGAGGCATTGAGATGATAACAGTCTCAACAAGACAACGACCCAAAACATACTAGCTGCCTCTAAAAACTTTCTTCGGGATAACATGCATGCCATGTAGAAAATAACGGTAAACGCATTCCATACTGATTTTTTTAGCTTGACATTGACGCTTGCGTAATTGTTTTGTACAACAGCTTTATCTAGTTACACCATTAATTGTTGATCTATTGTTGATCAGAAATCGATATTCGGTTGTTGTCGGATAAAACGGTGCGTGAATAAATAGGATGCAAGTATTAGAATACTGATGCGATTGACAATTGATAGAATTATCTTCAGAAAATTTAAATGAAGACTTGAATGGATCCCTTGGGATTATTGACATAGAGACAGGCACAGATAACAATACCATCTATTATGCTGTTTGCAAACAAACATTTGATAATAATCAGTTTGTGATTATGGCTTTTATTACTTGGAAGTGACGAAATATGTACACCAACGAACGCTTGTGAGTGAGTTTGCTGAAATATATTCACTCCCAACACACAAGTACGAAAATGATGTCAGTCAATTTAGACGATGTCCCAGATGTGCAATGAGCTTATATATGGATCACTGATTATGAAGATAAGTACTACACTACATGGTTGCTAAGAGACACTTTCATGATTATTATTCTTGATATTCCCGAAAGTGCCAATCAGGAATGTCTTTATTTAATTTGAGAAAATATTTCACCAAATTTTTCATTTTCTTTACTTAGCGACACTTTTTCAATTTTTTTTACGGATTTGTGTGGTGCAGTTGTGGACAGAAAGAATTATCTAATGGATGGACTAACAACAATAAGTAGCTTGTTAAGAAATCTCAAATACAAACAAATTCGACAAATGAAGCCTATTTGAAATGGATTCCATTTGATGAGACATGCTTAAAGAGTCTACTTGATTGATCGTTTAGATAATTATTAACTTAATGTATAACTGTTCATAGTTATGTGATGAGCATCCAGATATTCTTAACATACATGCGTGGGTTACAATTACATTTACATATGATGCAAATGAGATTGGATTCTCCAATTGAGGAAGAAATTTTACTCGTCAGTGGTAGAATTCGTGAGGTTATTTGAGAGTGCATGGGAGAAAAATTCTTGACTATAACTAAATCGGAATCGTCTGGATTATATTTTCAATTAAAACCTGGCATAGATGCATTCTATTTCGAATGTAAAGCGCTAAGACCACTCGATTGGACTACAGGCAACAAGTTTTGATTTCATTTATTATGAAATCATGGAGTAATATGACTAATTTAACTTCGTTTTATTCGACTCGAGCTTTCACAAAATTATCTACCTTTTGCCTAAAATTTCCCACTTTTCTTAAATATCTATACCACGTCGTAAACGCTGTAAACTTCCCGTGTGATAAATCTGGCTGTTGTTAATAAATTTTGATTACTTTGTTAAAAGCGCGTACACCAAACGAAATCTTTTCTTGAGTTTCGCTGACTTTCTAACCAAGTTTATTTGTAGGACAGTTTCATATCTTGAATGGGAGTTGACTTATCGCAACAAATAAATTCTGGTATTAGAAAAATAATGTCAAACTCATGCGATTCTCCGAAACTTTACCGACGTCTAATTATTAGCTACAATTAAAAATATCGTACTTCCTATTCTATTAATGGCTAGTTATCGTCATAAAGTATGGAGCCCGTTCTTATATAATTATACTATGTACTTTAAATAGTCTATACGGTTTATTTCCACACTGAAACAATGCAAAGCAAAGCAGAGCAGAGCAGAGCAGAAGCAGAAGCAGAAGTTTAAGCTTTGCATACTGATCAAACGTTCGATTTATTGACTGTCGGTCGATGAATTTCTTCCTATGTTAACTATCATTTATCATATTATCATTCGCAATCAGAGAGATAATTGATTAAAATTTTTTCTGCAGCTGATCTATGTGCCATGTTGTCATCATTGTGACTAACATTCAAACCTACAAATCTTTCACAAACAATGCTTGAAATAAATTAATGCTTAAACCGATTAAAAAAACCCAACATGGCACAGCTTTTTTTCTTTTTACAAAATACAGATATAATTGATAATGACAATTGTCTGCTTTATTTCTCAAAATAAAATGGGTAAGAAATGTTATTATCGCCTATTTAATTGATTCGGTTTTAGATTAAATTCAAAAACATATCCTACGTAAAGCGCACATAAGAAGTATGAAGTTTATCACATTCATACAAAAAATGCCTTCGTAAAGCCTAAGTTTAATAAACGGTTATTTAATGACATGCATTTGTCTCCTACTTTTCAAAATACCAAAAATTTACCAAATTAAATACATAACGTAAATTATTTTTTTTATGACAAAATATTCGTCATTTTCTCAATAAGCAAAGACAAAACGTATAAATATTTCTTCAGAAAATTCTTCGCTCATATTTCGATCTTATATTGAAATATTTTCTACTAAAAATTTTTAAATTCCAATTGCCATACATACCTACTATTACTTTTCTTTCAAGAAAGAGAAAAAGCCCATTTTGCTTTCAGTCATTGCTCACATTACCCAACAAACAGTGCAATTTATAAACGGTCTATCCAATAATAACTCTCAATTGGTACAATTTACATATTTTATTCCCGAAGAAGAATAAACGTTCAACAGAGCATGCTCCGCAACTGGAATTCTAGTATTTGATGAATAACGACTCCCACGATATAATTATTATTTTTATTACCTATTGAATAGGCAATTATTCTGCCCCTCCTTTAATAGCACGATTTATGGCAAGGCGATCAATTCTCCCCTCCACTACAAATATGGGAATTTATACAACCGTAGTAGGTGTATATAAGAAAAAGAGAGACCAATAAATGGCTGACTAAGTCAATAGCTGCCTACGATCCAATTTACAGGCATTCTGCCCATCCACGAAAAAATTATGTATCTAAATTTTTCATTCGTAAGGACAAAAGCAGATGACGGCCATAGTTCTCAAAATACTTCAGTCATCAGCTGGCAGAAAAGCTGTATGTAGCGGCTCATACCGAATCAAAGACTTCGATCTTGACTAAGATAAAGAATGAAAGTAAAAAATGATAGGAGAAAAGTATCAACGAGGACAACGACAGACGCTGGTAGTACTGAACAAGACTTGTCCACCAAAATGCAAAAAAAACGGCGAACGAAATAAAATTAGCTGAATAAATTGGGGGGAGAAATTTGACGTTTATTTGATTATACTTTCGCTGTCCCATACGTACCAACCATTACTACATTATTAGATTATCATATATTCTCTCTTATGTCGCAATTAGTAGATGTCTTACTTAACATTAGCACACGCAGCTTGCTTCATAACAGTTCAAGTGTAATGGAAAACTTCAACATTTACCCAACAACTACTCCACTTAATGATAGTTTTTTCATCGAGTCTATTATAACCTATCCGGTCAACGCGGGTCCGTATTATTTCATCGACAATCATTTCACCGACAGTACATTTCACCGACAATTAACTACCAAAAAAGGATAACTTCGAAATAATGTTGGTGAAGATTTGTCGGTGAAATGATTGTCGGTGAAATGATTGTCGACGAAATGATTGCCTCCCGGTCAACGCAGTTGACCGGACTTTAATGCTACACTAGTTATTAACAACAATCTATGCCAGTAGTACAAACCGATGGAGCAAAATGTTGTTTCTGCCGTATGATGCCTCTGCCATGTAGTACAACTATTGTTGGTTGCCGAGATTAGCAACAATCTAGCCAGTAGTACAAACCGATGGAGATATCAAACAAAATGTTGTTTCTGCCTCTGCCGTATGATGCCTCTGCCATGCAGTACAAACTATTGTTGGTTTCTGCCCATGCCATGTAGTACAAACTATTGTTGGTTGCCGAGATTAGCAACAATCTAGCCAGTAGTACAAACCGATGGAGATATTAAACAAAATGTTGTTTCTGCCCATGCCATGTAGTACAAACTATTTATTGTTGGTTGCCGAGATTAGCAACAATCTAGCCAGTAGTACAAACCGATGGAGATATCAAACAAAATGTTGTTTCTGCCTCTGCCGTATGATGCCTCTGCCATGCATGTAGTACAAAATAATGTTATTGCCGATTATAGTAATGTTGTATGCCTCCTTGTAGCAGGTAGTAAAAACTAATGTGGTTGTTTACAAATCAATATTCCTTTATTCGGTTCTCAAAAGTGCAATTATGTGAAATTCATCATTACTATAAAGTAGTATATCAGAATAATTTATGCATAACCTTATAATATAATGAACAATATACTGCAAAACATTTTACAATAAATAATTTTTGTTATATTAACGCACGCTTGGGTCCAACTCATCAGGAGATTAAACATAAAACTCTCTCTACCACTAAGTAACATTATAACCGTTTTGCGTTCTTGACACTACAAAAACTCTCCCAACTCACATTTTACATTCATACATCGTTGAATCTCCTCGCCAAACGCTTATCGTTATACTCAAGTAGCCCGCCATGGCCGGTTTTAATAACCAATCGATTTACGAAAGTTATACATCCAATATTTCATCTGACCAGGCGCATAGTATGGACTCTAACCATGCAGACAGTCTTCATTGGAATCAGACGTACAATATAGACCCGGATTACGCAAACGGTTGTCCATTGAATCAAACAGTTAATAGTGACCCTAATATCGTTTATTCTTATCCGCTCGGTCAACAACCTTCCAGCCAAGTCTTTTTTTCTTCCGACATTGGCCCACTTGACAATAATAACGTCTACACGGATGTAAATGCACAGTTGAATACCACGGCTTGCGGATACGTTGAACACAATGATGGAATTAACAATCAATTCTCTCCGGCAGGCTATAATTTGACCGATTACAATTTGCCCGCCATTCATTATCCTCTCCCCCAAACACCAGTTCAAACACCATCTTCTTCCGCTCTTGCCAACAATACTGGTATAATAACAAATGCTGCGAGTCACGGATGCGTGATAATTATTATGAAAGCAGACATCGATTTGGAAAAACTGTTGTCCATTATTCAATGACGTAAGGAAATATCATGTAACTAACCTCTTTAATGGTTGCCTTTTTATTTGTTATTCGTAAATCGAAGAAGGGAAACATAATTTTAGTTATATCAAATTATCTTTTTATATTTATCGCTTGCTCTTTATCTGGTTCATGCAGTAATAGTATTAATTATACATCAAAATTATGTTCGGTTTGACATACGTGCGTGACAAAAGATAATAATAATTTTTTATTAGGCCGTTTCTCGCAAACGATAAGCTTACAAGTAGTAATATTTTACACCCGCTTCTCAAAAATAAAATCGCTCCAACTCTCCAATATTTGTAGAGCATACGTTTTTCTACACTGTGTTAACAATAGACCATAGATTTTCAATCGGGTTAGAATCCTGACTGTTTGATGGCCGGTCAGTCACTCTGCAATATGACTGGTGTGTTTGAGGATCACCAGCTTGCCTCCAGTTGTGTATTTAAAGCAAAAAAGTGATGTCTTTTTGCGAATGCAGAACGTACTTCTATAACAAAGAGGATTAGCTAAAATCGAAACACTTATTATTATGAAATCTTAATAGTCTCATTTTTCTATTTACTTTTTGAAATTAATTCGATTGAACACTGCCTAATTGTATCCAATCATCGTTTAGTGTCAGTGACTTGGGCATGATGTGGTGGAATAATATACTGGTCACACCCAGATTCACGTGAGACTAAATTGGTTGATAATTCGCCGCCTATATTAATATACGCAAGTCAGAGTAAAAGAAATAGCATCTCTACACCAGGAGTAACTATAGAAGTCGTGGTAGAAGTAACAACGGAACCAGCAGAGCCAACAGAAGGGAACGGTAGTGGAAAGTACAATGGCTGAACTTAAACTAGCAGATAAGATCGCTCAAGAAATAGCGGATGAAGTCGCTCAAGAAGTAGCAGATAAAATCGCTCAAGAAGTAGCAGATAAAATCGCTCAAGAAATAGCAGATAAAATCGCTCAAGAAATAGCGGATGAAATTGCTCAAGAAATAGCGGACGAAGTCACTCAAGAAGCGGATAAAATAACCGAAAAGCTAGCGGATGAAATCGCCCAAGAAGAAGCAGATAAAATAGCCGATGAACTGGCTGATCAACTAGCTCATAAAGTAGTTGAAGTCACTTTTACGGATGAATTAATGAAAGGATAACAGATGCAGCACCAAAGGATCATGTATAGAGACCATGGCTGAAGCAATAGATTGTGAAACTGTGACGTTCTTTAAGACATAAAAAGATTCAAGAGAGGGTTTTTTAGATGATGAGAATGCCGATAAAGGCGGCATTAAGGTAAATGGGGAAGTAATTCGTAAGTCGTGTGAGGTGAAGTTTAAGAAGTATGGGTGGACAGTGGAGGAGAAGAGGATTGGATGATAAGTATTGAGAAAGAAGAGAAAGGAAATGAAGAGGATGAAGAATTGAAGTTGAATATAGTGAATCTGCTTCCCTTCCTGCTTCCTGCCTCCGGAGATACAGGTATGTTCACATATGCATGACAATTGGGTAGTATATATAAACAGTCTAGTTTCAATATTCTCCGTTCTCGTACAGGAGCGTTGACTATGAAGTCCGCAGCCGTTGTTTCGCGACCGAGGAACTTGCTCGGGTGGCAATGAAGAGTGAAGCGCGATGTCTTTACACAGACTGTCAAACATTATCCAAGAGGCCGACGATAAATGCTTTCACGGAAACTCGAGGAGAATAGACTTTGGAGAAAAGTGGAGCCCCATGAAGACAATACGCTATCAATAGTAAAGAATAGATGAGAGATCACTCGATACTGCGTCGAACGGTCTATAAGCAGTCTGTTACGAAATGCCGTCTTATAGTGAGTAGCTTTGATTTGGTTTCGATATTGGTAACAGTGACAAAAGAGGCAAGAGTGAGAACATGCAGCATGTAACAGAATATACCGGACCGGATAAGAGTATGTGGGATTGAGAAGTACGCTCGAAGAGAGTCTTATAGTTGATGTCTATACTTTCTCATCTGTAGATGATCAAAAGAATAGGATTGCCAATCGATTAGAGAAATCGAGAAATCGAGAGCCAAGTTGACTGCAGTTATTGTACAGGTCAAACCTGTTTAAACCGGCGCTGATTAAACCGGTCTCGGGTTTAACCGGCCGCCTCAAGACTACACCAAACTTTCATTAATTAGAAACTTTCTCTAGTTGAACAATTTTTTGAACCGGTCCTTAGCTAAACCGGCCAAGAATCGGCAAACCAGGTCCGCCGGTTTAAACAGGTTTGACCTGTATCATGTAATGCCAGATTGTGTGTGTGTGTTGGAAGGTACAAATGAAATTGTAGGCTATAACGCAGCCGGGAGAGTTAACCAAATCTGTTATCGCGCGTTATTTTGTCCTTCTTTGGGGATATCTGAACATATGACTTAAACGCAGAAAATAGATGTGGAAAAAAATAAAAGTCAAGAACATATTGATATTCGATCACCACTCATCTGAATAAATTCAACAAAGTGAAAATATTCATAATCTCCATTGCCTTTACTATGATAAACGTAGACCGGATGGTTATTCATACCAGAAACTATGAGAGATACGCATCTACTTTTGTTTCTTTGTTAATTAGAAAACCAATTCCACAGATATCTCTGTTAGGTGGACGAGAATCAATTTGATATTGTTGATAGAAAATACCCGTAATCGATGTTGAGTTCATTGAGTATAAAGATCTTCTTCACTGCATTCTCAGGTTCGAATTATCGATACGAATTGTTAAGTGGTCTTGAAGTGCCTGTACCTGACGGTGACACAAATATTAAAAATCTCAAATATCCAAGCCTTTCATCATCCGTTAAATAAGAGACGAAGGGATGACAGGGCATCGGCTTTTTTTCTTCATTCCAGTAATATAGAAAAGTACTTTTTCCCCGCTCCTCTTCAGTGAGTTTGTTTTTAGTTTTATCTTTAAAAGTGAAGAAATTCGTCAAAGAAGGCCTGCCGTTCCGACATTTTGATTTTCATAAGAAACATTGTTCTCGTGATTAAATAAAAATTGCGTTCTGTAAAATTTCACATAAAGCCTGCTCTACTTGCGTCAAAAACATATCACCTCAGCAACTTGTGACAATATTAAAAGGCATCTAAAACACTATATAATTGGGGAAAATCTTGCAGTCATATCATAATATTTGACACAAAGATATAAAACGTGAAATTTTTCGTTTTGTGCACGAGGGGAAAACACGGCCTTCTAGGGAAAGAAATTGGCAGTTTCAAACAGTATAACATACAAGCCATCTAGTCAAGTTACTCCTTCAAGAAAATGTCTCTCACCTTATGGACTGGCTCGCTAATAATTAATTTTAACAATTCGTCCGCTAATTAATGCGGCTCAGCTTTAAACCACGTGACTTGCTTTTTTTTAGGTTACTACTATTAATTCGTCGAGTCATGCTGGAGTTAAATGATAAAAATATCTTCTTTACGATGGATCGAACGAAATCTTTACACTTTTCCTCGTTAGTAAAGAAACGAGAAAACTTAAAACCAAGATGACAAAATATAATCAAACACGACACTTTAAAACCAAAATGACAAAACATAAACAACCACACTTATTTTTAGTCTCGATGAAGAAAGAAAACGAGTGAGTAAACAAGACTTGGAGACGATATTTAAATACCTTTATCATACTGAATTTGTTTTTTATTATTTTGATCCCGCAGGCAAAAACTACTACTATTTACCTTATTTTGTTTTCATTTTTAGTATACTATATTGAAAAAAAATCAAGACAAACGAAGACGACTTCAACAAAAAAGAATAACTCGAATAAAGAAGACTATTAAAGAAGAATTCCAACATGAACAAGAAAACCTAACGAAAAGAATTCATAAATGAAAGGTTGAAAAACGACTAAAAGAAATGGCGGAATTGCTAAGAAGAGTAGCGGTAGAAGAACAGCGAAGATATGAAGCGAGGGTAAAACAGCAACAAATTCTCAATAATGTAGATGTGCTCTTACAAGTGATTAGACAGACGGGATTATATCACTAAAATATATAGTTTGGTATCTATCTCGATACTTGTGGATATAGTTTAAACTATGCCCGAGGCATCATCCCTATATCCGATACTCACTGGATACTCCGATGGCCGTTTTCATTTCATGAAATTAATTATAACATATTTCTAAGTGTAATTTTTTTTATGTATTGTATTTCGGTTACATGGGCGGGTTCATTTTTTTGACGAAAACAAAATTTCTGACCCATAATTATTATTAATCGTATTTATTAATCGCAAACAAGTAAAAAGTTCTTATCAGTAGATAATTATTCGAATAAAATTGTTCCTTTAGGGTCAGTCAACCTTAGAAGATCTTCTGTGGTATCTATTTTCAAATAAGGTGATGCTTTTATCTGTATAGTTTCTTTCAACATTGATTGAAGCTAACAATACAAATTACTGATAAGCAAACATATGACGGTTCTTGAAGGGTAAAAAAAAAAGAGAGAAAAGCGTTGAGATAATACAAGTGGTCAATGGATCTATACGTAATAAACATTACTCAATTGTTTATGGAAACTACGGATACGTTTGATGGTCTCCGATGGCCGACTGCATGGGGCCATTTGGAAAAGAACTGGTTTGGTATGAAAACAATGTCAGGAAACAGGCATCATCCGGCTGATGCTGAAATGTTTCGAACCGAGCTCGAATGTTGCTACGTATTTTATTCACGAACGATTGGCATCGAACTCATTATTAATTTCAATTTCATAAAACGTTAGTCTCAAGATTTACTTTTTAATAAGTAAGTAATCATATTTTCTTACATAGTCAAATGATCTCTCTACCCCGGCAAAGGCAGCTAACAGTAAACATGCATGCACGATTTTATTTCGGCATCTTGTTAACTCAACCAGCACATCGTATTATAATACTAACTTTTTCGTATAACTGTAAATAAGCCCGCTGATATTCAAAAAAGAGTTTGAGTATCTAAATTATAAGAAATGCACGGTGTTAATATTGTAAATTGACTTTATTTGTACC